CATAAAGACAGATCCTGTTCGTCCAGAATTTCATCGTGCCATCATTAGATGGGAAGCTAACGATGGATCAGGTAGTCCTGGGTAAGTTTAGGCATTATCTTACACCAAAGGTTTTGGTACTTCCTAGAATCTGCATTCATTTGGATCTTCTAGGATCTGTTGGTTTTTGGCAAGCAGTCTTATTCAACTACCTCCTAATTGCATTAAGATGAAATGTTGCTTCTCATTGGGAATCAGATTTGTTGCTGAGAGCACCGGTCATCAGATGAGCAGCCGACTTTTAAGTATGAAGTCAGCTAATGCTTTGTTAGAATTGCCAGCAGCGAAGGGTGTTGTTTCTTCTGGGACTTCTCTGTCAGCCATCATTATTTCTGATTTAGGCAGGTCTGCACCAAGCAATGGTGCTTTGCAATCAGATTCAGCTACCACATCACAAGGAAATAAATTGAGTGAAACTGCAGATAAGTCTCAAGAAGCTCAATTCAGAGTGGCAATTCTCACAGTGAGTGATACTGTTGCTTCAGGTGCTGGTCCTGACCGAAGGTATGGATCTGCATGTTGCTTCTTCAATATATAATCACTCAGTTAAGTTTTAGATGCCTAGCTCTTTTACTGGTACACTATGTGTCAATAGCTTCCCCTCTTTTCTTCAATTTTTTTGGCAGTTTCATCTTTTAACATGAAAGCTTCTGCTGATATATATATATATATATATATTGGAAAACTGGTTGTTAGATGGTAGCTTAAATTTTTTGTTGGAATGGATTATTGAAATGGCACCATTTCAAGTTAAAAATATAATAAACCCCTATTTTGCTTTTCTCATCTTCAACTTTCCCCTGTTTCCAGAAATTTACAAACCCTTAGCATGAATTCCTTCTTTGTATTCTTCAAATTCACACCAATAACCTCATCCCCTTTTCTTCTTCGATTTGCCCCTGTTTCTCTGCACTCAAAAACCCTCTATTCTAAAACCCTTTCCTGCAAATTCTCCTTCCATCCTCCCGACACCATAGCCACTCGAGTAAAAGTTCAACCAGTTCATCGGAGGCCTGAAGACTGCATCGAAGAAGTTGCTGGTGAAAAGATGGCTACGTCTGAGTGAGATGAACTAGGATTGTTTCTCTCTATTTAGGATCTTTGTTGTAGCATTGTAAAAACCCTCTATTTTATCCTTTGGTTTCCCTAATTCAAGTATACTCTTCTTCAATTTCAACCAGAAAACAAAGAAAGAAATGTTGAAGAGGGAGAGATCTTTGAGGAATCATCAAAGTTACCACCTTTATTTTTCTAGAAGAGGGAGAGATCAATGAGGAATCAACAAAGTTACCACCTATGATGTTATATTCAAATAATGTTGTTTTTCAAGTAAATGACTTTTTTTTTCAAGAGAATGTCTTCTATAACAGCTTTCCAACATTCCTCATCCCTGGAATTTCTTGGGGAATTTCTTATTGTTGAATAATATTCAATATTGCAAGGAATGATTATTTTGTAAAATTCTTGTATTGAACTATTAGAATTGGGTTAGAACTTGGGAATTAGTTTTTCATTATTCTATGCAAACTTAAATAGAGGGTTTTAGAATAGAGGGTTTTTGAATGCAGAGAAACAGAGGCAAATCAAAGAAGAAAAGGGGATGAGGTTATTGGTGTGAATTTGAAGAATACAAAGAAGGAATTCATGTTAAGGGTTTGTAAATTTCTGGAAACGGGAAAGTTGAAGACGAGAAAAGCAAAATTGGGGTTTATTATATTTTTAACTTGAAATGGTGCTATTTCAATAATCCACTCTGACAAAAAATTTACACTACTGACTGACAACCAGTTTTCCATTTATATATAGATATATATATATATATATATTTTTCTTTTTTCTTTTTTGGCCTCAATGCTTCTGCTTAAATGGATTATATGGATCTAAATAATATTTTTGAAGCTCAATTGTGAGTGTAGAACTTAGAAGCAAGATATTGAAGCACTTGATTAATTATTCTGTTCAATTGTTTATTAAATAAAAAGCATATGTGAAAACTGCTCTTTCGATGTCTTAGTTTTATTCCACAACTGCATTTCTTTTCTCATTTATTACCGCCTGCCAAGAAAAACAATGAAGACATTACCATACAAGACTCTTTGTTTCAGTAATATTATGATGCAAAATTATTGGATGTGAAAGAAGAATATGAATGTTCATCTTGAAATTAAATGCATCCAGATACACCAATTTTAATACAGTATTTCAAAATGGTCACTTAATGGATGCTAAACTAATAGAGCAGAGTTGATGTTCCTCTCTATCAAAGTTAGATATGAAAAAGGTGAAATCTCTGTTACATTTTAAAGCCAAGAAGCCATAGATTGGTGTTAAAAATGATGCCCACACCCTTTGGTGCTTACTCTTATTAGATATCTTTCCGAATAATGACCTCCATATCAGAATGGATAGACTGGTGCATCAAGATACACCTCTTTGAATCATTATTTCAAAAGGGTCACTTTGTTGATGCCAAAGAAAAAGAGCAAAATTGATGTTGTTCCTTGTCAAAGTTAGACTTGGAAGTACTGTACACTTTGCAACAATGTATAGAATTTAGCTTGGCCACTTCTTGTTATCATGTCAATTCATTAAGTATTTCAGAAGTTCCTTAGTTATTCTCCTTTTCTAAAATTCTTTCATGTCTTTTTTGCATTAAAACTCTAAATTTGCCATTCACCCTTCTCACCTCTGCCATTTGATGGCATTAACTCCTGAGATCAAATCTTAGTAATTAATTCTTGACAAAGACAAATTTTGCGTTGAATTAATAGGCAGTTGTCTGCTACTATCCCCAATCTTGTACCCATTCCATCCCTATCAACATTTGCAAGAGACCTGATTTGTTTTCTTGTGGACGTGATGGTTTTTTTGTACTTTTCTTTCTCTAATTTTGCATTTAAATTATATATATGTAATTTATAGATGTCAAATTGCAGCGGTCCAAGGGCAGTGTCTGTTGTAAATTCCTCATCTGAAAAGTTAGGTGGGGCAAAGGTTGTTGCAACAAGTGTGGTTCCAGATGATGTAGGAAAGATCAAAGATGTTTTGCAGAGGTGGAGTGACATAGACAAAATGGATCTTATCCTTACACTTGGTAAATCTCTTTACCCTGCCTGGCTCTCCTTTCTCCTTGGTTGGATGTATAGATAATAATTCCTTTCTAGTTCTCTTGTTCACCATTTTCTGAATTTTTATTTTTCTAAATTAAGGAGGCACTGGATTCACCCCAAGAGATGTGACCCCCGAAGCAACCAAACTGTTGATTGAAAAGGAAACACCTGGTCTTCTGTATGTCATGATGCAAGAAAGTTTAAAGGTAATGGATAAACTACACTATGACTTGAAAATTCTTGAACTCTCTTATTCTACTGCTGATCTCCGGGTGCTGTATGTTCTGTTACGTGATTTTGGGTGTTTGGGATTACTTTTTGTATGAGTTTGTTTCTCTTTGAATATCCACCAATAAGCAAACCTTGTACTAGTTCCCCGCTTATTTCTCCTTCTGAGAACAGGTGACTCCATTTGCAATGCTCTCACGTGCTGCAGCTGGAATACGAGGTTCAACATTGGTAAGCACATGATGCAACATCTATTATCCTTTTTATTCAGTTGGGTATCTTTTGTAGCTACTCTCTACCCCAGCCTCCGGGATTCTTATTCAATCCTCCTTTTTTCTTTTTCTTTTTAGTCATGTTTTCTATTGCTTATTGTGATAATGGTTGTTGTTTATGTGTTATTTTGCCATAGCTAAATCCAAAGAAAATTTTGAGAAAATATTTGAGAAGAGATTGAATTTCTAAACCATTCCAAATAGTCAAATAAGCCTTTTCTGTTTCTTTCCCTTCTTTAACCTAATTTTTTAAAAAGTACATACAGGCACCCACACACCCTTCCATTGGGAATTTGGAGAAAAGTTGCTGTGAGAAATGTAGAACTAAAGATGGGTTTGTGCTTAGAACCATTGTTGTTATTTACAAATATCCTAAAAATAAAGTACTTATGTGTGTGTTTTGCCTTAGTGCAAAATTGGAGCAATCTAGAGTCTTCTAATCTACTTTGATGCTGGTTGAGGTATTTGATGGTTTTATTCCTGACATGTGTTGCTTATATTATCTTTTATCCAGATCATCAACATGCCTGGGAATCCAAATGCAGTTGCTGAATGCATGGAGGCTTTATTGCCTTCTCTTAAACATGCATTAAAGCAAATCAAGGGAGACAAGAAAGAGAAACATCCCCGACATGTTCCTCATGAACAAGCTGTGCCTCTGGATACTTGGGAGCGTAGCCATAAGTTGGCCTCTGCTGGTGATGGGGAATCTACTTGTTCTTCTTCCCACTAAAAGCTCTTTTGGGAGCATAAAATGAGTAATCCTCCTTTAGGCATCAGTTTCAGTCAGCGCATACATTGTAAATGCTTAATAAACTTAAAGTTTTTTTTTTTTGGTATAATTTTGTTACAATAAAGTTAACCCTTTACTTATTATTTTTTTTTTTTAAAAAAAAAACCCAGGATTTGTATTAAACTGATAATTTGAGACTCATTGACTCTGCAATAAGTGCTTCAGATGTTCGTTCTGCTTGTGTTGGGTATATTTCTGTGAAGGAATTCGATTTTTGTAGCTTGACACAGTCCCAATGCATTATAATAAAAAGGAATTTTTGTCAATAAAAGAAGAAATGGATTTAAAACTTGCAAACAGAACCTTGGTAAACCATCCTCAGATTGCAACTTTTCATGTATGTTGTGCAATGAATCCAGAGACTGGAAGGTGGATTGGTCAGAAGTAGAGGATGTTTGTGATAACAGAGGTGATTAATTTCAAACAACAACTTCAGGTTAGCCCTGTTTCTGAAACCAAAACTACTATAAATGGAACCCAACAGTGGCTCTGAGCAAGCAGTATGCTTTTTGGATTAAGAGATACCAAATGGAAACCCAAAAATAAATTTATTGAGTCATCTTAATTTCTTTCCTCTAACATGATCCGTGGTTATCTCACA